TTATAGGGATGATCTCGCAGCGGCTGCTAAACTAGCACAATGCACTCGATTGCGAAACCAGGAGGCTTGCGACTTCATTGGGACCTGTATCATGGTTTCCACAACCGCACGCGGTGGTCGGTTGCATATGCCACAAGCTGGCACGCAGATTGCCGTTGCTTTGACGATAGGTGTACTGCAGCCCCCAGTGGTTTGGATTGCTGGCAGAGAACCACCCCCGCCGCCAGTTGTTCCACCTCGTCCTCGCTGTGGACCGCGCAGACAGCGGGGAAATGCTCCTACGTCCGTCGTTGTGAGCAGCTGCTACCGCGCAGGACTCTTTGCACTGTGTGGGAAAAAAGGATGTGGTGAGTCGGTGACGCATCGGCTGTGCTCTTGGACTTCGGTGCGTTGCTGTGAACCGCCAATGAAAAGCTCAAGAAGAAGCAAGAGGAATTCGTGCCAGTGCCACTGCATGCGCAGTGCCAAAGCGAGTACGCCGTTGTGGGCTGCTTGCATGACGCCATCGTTGCGGGCCGGAAAAAATGGGGCCCTCAGGGCATGTGCGAAGGGACACTCCGGACGCAGAGCTATAGGTCAAACAGTTCTTATAGGAATCTTCCGCCGCCGGCTTGCCCGGGAACTGCTTGAAATCTCTTTTGAATCCGAAATGGCCAAAGCACGACAATTTTTGCCTTTTGAGAAGGTCTCATCAATTGTACTTGGACTGTTAAATGTGGCACACAGCTGAGATGATTGCAACCAAGGCTCTTAGGACTGTGACACTGCACTTCAGCAGCTAGGTCATCAAAATTCTTGTTCTCAGCAAGTGTGTTGAATTTCCAAAAGCACTAAGTAAATGAGCTCCAAATGTTTGTGGGCTTGATCGAACACTTAGCAGCTTGATATGGATGATTGATTGAGATGCATCAAACTCCTGCTATCATCTTGGACAATTGCAAGACTGTCTATTGCCTTCTTGAAGTTGGCGAGCATGGTATTTGGTTATCTACGCTTGTCTTTTGTTGAATGGCTATGAACTGCTGACAAACATGCTAAATGATCTGCGGCTTCTGTGAAACGGCTTCATTTGTTCAATGAATAGGCCGGTCATTACGTGCAAGTCAGCAAGTCCTATCAAACACTAGCATGTTCCGCACACAGAGTTTTGTATCAACTCTGTGTTCTTCATGTCAAGCGGTTTCTTTATCAGTCCTTGCTGTCCTGATTTTCCTTTTCTTCCTATGGTCCTACAGCCGTTTCTCTCAATGATTCAGTTTGTGGTTTGCAGAATGTACAGCTCACCAGCTTCGGACACATGCAGTGCTCATAACATTGGACTGATAGACTGGGCAAAGCTGAACCCACCTTGAAAAATCACCTTGAATGTAAAATATAAAAGTGTCCAACCCCAAGTCAATCCACTCTTACACAGCAGGTCAGCTCACATTCTGGAGGTAAACTGTTAGATGACTGAGTGTGCATTCATTTCTGCACCAAGGGAGATCAATCTTAGCTCCCAAGCAACCCCCATGCATGTTGCAAACTCTTTTTCAGCTCGATATAGCCGTGACGGCCTTCACAATAACTTGAAGGAGCGCCATGCAACTGACCAATTGTCAGCTGGGCGCTCGAAAGGCAAAATGATCTTGTGTGTGGGAAGGACAACAAATGGTCTTGTATTGGAAGGTCAACAGCGGAGGTAAATCATGTAATCTTGGGGCTGAAAGGCACCTCTTGAGGGTATGGGACATACTTTCTTACTAATCACGGACCCCATATGTTCAATTCCTGTATTTATTGCCCTACCATGCTGCCAAAAGACCCTTAGGTCTTTGACATCCTACTCCTTATATTGCTCATATCTACTCATTATTTATGTACAATGTGGTGACAAGAAACACCCGTCCCGTCCCTAATACAGTAGATTTGCCTCAACGCTGCTTCTTCGCATGTGAAAGCTCCGGTGTACGGCCGGCTTAAAGTCTCGACAAGGTCGTTGACTTCTGCACATCATGGTCAAGCCGTCTCACCTGGGTGCATACATTCACATGCAAAAACTAGAAGCAATGGCCTCCAACCTAATAGCGAGGGCCTCCAACCTAGAAGCCCATTTGAGACATGATTGCAAATACAACTTTACTGTCGTAGCATTGCATGTCTGCATACAACCTATCCATTCACACCGATAGAGTGAAGAGCAAGGACGACTTCTACAGTATCTGGAATACAATCCACAGGTTGTCTATACTTACTCACCAATCCAGGACCCGTAAAATACCGCCTTTCTCACTGGGATGTGCAAAAGCACGCTTAAGCTTTAGCTGGGGCTGTCGCATCACCTCGTCGCACCGTCGCTTCACCTACCAGTAGATGCGGAAAAGAACCAATGGACTTGCACGTTGGTCTACATCTCGACCAGGACTGCTGTCATGACACAGTTTATCACCAGTTACACCTACATAGCTGTGCTTTCGGAACTGCAATGCGCTTGTTGATTGCCCAAGTGCCTATCCAAACATTCACCGCATAAGAGGACAAGCGCATGTCCAAATCAGCAAAATGAGAACACGTGCATTCGGTGGGTTGCAGGCCAATACCTTTGATCCGCATTTCTAGACTCAGTCTTCATCAAGCAATCTTGCCTGCACACTTGTTCGCACACAAAGCAGCCGCAATGCAGGCTCAGGAAATGATACTAATGACCTCGCTTGTTCTGTCCTTGATGTCTGGGGCTCCAAACCGCTGCTTCCCATGTGGCCATGGCTGGCCAGCGCACGTGGAGGTTCTACATCTGGAACACATCGATAGACCTAGGCTGGATAGCACATTGAAAGGCTTGCACAAGAGGACCTTGTGAATGAAAAAAGGTCGGCGCCTCCTAACCTTCTTTCTGTCTATCTCTTTTTCTTTAACATCCACTATGAAAAGATGCCATTTGACAAAACACAATTCCACAATAGGACCCGGCATGGTTGGCACAAATCTTTTGGGATATCTAAGCACTCGCGACAGTGAGAAGGTGCCCAAACCTTACTTTTTCTGACATTTTCTTCATTCAATCGTTGACTTCTTTTCACGTCTGTTCCAACAAACTGGATTCTCAAGAGCCCCAAACTCAAAGATCAGCTGCTAGATGTGACAAGGGCCATAAGGGAGCACAAATATAGATTGGTAAATCCAGGGCACCGCGAGGTCCTCTGCTGTGAGTTCATGCTTGTTCTGCAAGTACCTTGTTCAATGCACAAGATTGATAGGAATGTAGTCAACCTGGTCAACATCAAACACCGCTTTTGTGCACAATGGTGACTGCCGCGCGTGGAGGTTCCTCCATCGGCGTGTTGCAACATGTTTAGAAGCAGGTGAAGCACTAGTATTGGGTAGAAAGTCTTTGCGTTGGACAACTCAATCCAAGTGAAAAAGGGCTTCAACAAGTCT